GCCACCACACCCAGCTATTTATTTATTTATTTATTTATTTATTTTGAGGTGCCAGGGATTGAATCCACGGGGATGCTACCAATGACTACACCTCTAGAATTTTTAAAAATATTGCTATTTTGAGGCCGGGCACAGTGGCGCATGCCTGTAATTCCTGTGGCTCAGGAGGCCTAGGCAGGAAGATTGCCAGTTCAAAGCCAGCTTCAGCAAGGGCCAGGTGTTGAGCAACTCAGTGAGACCCTGTCTATCTCTAAGTAAAAAATACAAAATAGGGCTGGGGATGTAGCTCAGTGGTCGAGTGCCCCTGAGTTCAATCCCTGGTACCCCCCTCTAAAAATATCTTGCTATTTTGAGACAGGGTCTCTCTAAATTGTGCAGGTTGGCCTCACACTTGTTATCTTCCTGCTTCAGTCTCCAGAGTGGCTATTTAAACATGTTTTTCCCCCTCAGGAGAGTAGGTTCAAGCCAGCTGCAGTGGCACAAGTTTGCAATCCCAGCAACTCATGAGGCTGAGAGAGGAAGCTCAAAAGTTTGAGGCCAACCTCAGCAATTTAGTGAGTCCCTGTCACAGCATAAGAATATAGCAAAAAAAAGGACTGGGGGTGTAGCTCATGGTAGAGTCCCCTTGAGTTAAATCCCCAGTATTGAAAACAAAATCCCATGTTAAAATTTAAACAAACAGGGCTGGGGATGTGACTCAAGCGGTAGCGCGCTCGCCTGGCATGCGTGCGGCCCGGGTTGGACCCTCAGTACCACATACAAACAAAGATGTTGTGTCCGCCAAAAACCAAAAAATAAATATTAAACATTCTCTCAAAAAAAAAATTTAAACAAATAAACAAAAAATACTCCCAAAAACCTTATTGAAGTATACACTTGATTTTTTTTTTTGTACCGGGGATTGAACCCAAGGTCACCTGACCACTGAGCCACATCCCCAGCTCTTTATTATTTTGAGATAGGGTTTCCATAAATTGCTGAGGCTGGCTTTGAACTATTGATCCTCCTGTCTCAGCCTCTGGAGCCCCTGGGAGTACAGGTATGTGCCACCAGGCCCAGGCTTTTGTTTTAAACATTATCACTATAGGGGCTGGGATTTGGCTCAGGGTAGAGCTCACCTAGCACAAGCAGGACCCGGGTTCAATTCTCAGCACCACATAAAAATAAAGGCATTGTATTGTGTCCATCTACACCTAAAAAAATAAATATTTAAAAAAAATATCACCATAAGAAGAAACCACAAGGTCAGAACTGAATAATGAGCACTCCCTCCCCACTACACTCCTCCAGGGCCTCCCTACTTCAGCAGGGACAGTCCTTCCTCCTGGGAAATAAGACAGGCATTTCTGTTTCATCTTCTCTTGGTCTGATCACTTATTTATTTATTTTTCTCTTAAGACAAGGTCTTGCTATTTCTCCCAAGCTGGGCTTGACCTCTGGATCCTCCAGCCTCAGCTTCCCAGGAAAAAACCTTACCATCTTTGGTTTGGTTTGGTTCTGGGGATTGAACCCAAGGGTGCTTTGCTACTGAGATACACCCCCAGGACTTTATATGAGACAGAGCCTCAGCTAATTTGTTGAGGTTGACCTCAAACTTGCAATCCTCCCTTCCGGGCTTCCCAAATTGCTGGGATTACAGGCGTGCATCCCTGGGGCTAGATCATCTTAACAAAAACCAGAAAACTCAAAAAGAAAAGGACCGGGTGTGGTGGCACACACCTGTAATCCCAGCAATTTGGGAGGCTGAAGCAGGAGGACTGCAGGTTGAAAGCTAGCCTCGGGCTGGGGATATGGCTCAAGCAGTAGCCCGCTTGCCTGGCATGCGTGCGGCCTGGGTTCGATCCTCAGCACCACATACAAACAAAGATGTTGTGTCCGCCGAAAAATAAATATTGAAATTCTCTCTCTCCTCTCTCTCTCTCTCAAAAAAAAAAAAAAAAAAAAAAAAGCCAGCCTCAACAATTTAGTGAGGCTTGAAGTGCTGGGATGTGGCTCTGTGGTTACAAGGGCCCCTGGGTTCAATCCCTGGCACCAAAAAAGAAAAAGGATGAACTGTAACCAAAGACTAAAGCCTAGGACAGGAACAAGTGAATCAATAGGACGATGAAGTGCCTGCATCAGAGGATCCTGCTGGAATCCCCAGCAGGAAATCCCCTGCAGCTCCTGGTCAGTGCTCCTTCTCCAATACATGATGTTCCTGACAAAATTCCAATACCCCAAAGGGACTGGAGGAGTTTAAGGAGTCCATAATGGCTCTCACTATCCAAAAGGAAGTGAGCACTTGAATAGAAAACAGACTGTTGTTATCTGTGTCCAGGGTTTATCTTTACCTCCTCAGGGCCCCAGGAGCTCCAACAAGGACTGTGGGATCAGGCAGCAAAGGCTTGGCCGGCTCCTGGAAGATGGCTCCGGAAGATGGGTACCCAGCCTGGCCACCTCACCCTTCAGTTCCATCTCTGCTCTATGTTAAAACTGACCAACAGCCGGGCCCAATGCCACTTGCCTGTAATCCCAGCAACTTGGGAGGCTGAGGCAAGAGGATCATGAGTTAAAAGCCAGACTCAGCAACTTAGCAATACCCTGTCTCAAAAATAAATAAATAAATAAAATAATATATATATATATATATGCTGGGGATGTGGCTCAGTGGTTAAGTGCCCCTGGATTCAATCCCTGGTACACACACACAAAACAAACAAACAAACCCTGACCAACAATCAGAACAATTTTCCCAGATTCATTCTTTTTTTTTTTTTCATTTGAGTTGTTATCCCCATTTTGTAGAGAAGGAAAGGAGGGTACAGAGAGTTCCTTTTTTTTTTTTTTTTTTTTTAGAGAGAGAGAGAATTTTTTTTAATATGTATTTATTCATTGTAGTTTTCGGCGGACACAACATCTTTGTTTGTATGTGGTGCTGAGGATCGAACCCGGGCTGCACGCATGCCAGGCGAGCACGCTACCGCTTGAGCCACATCCCCAGCCCGATTTATTCTTTTTTTAATTTTTATTTTTAGATGTGGATGAACATAATACTTTTATACTTCTATTTTTTTCATTTATTTACATGTGGTGCTGAGGATCTAACCCAGAGCCTCACACGTGTCAGGTAAGCGCTCTGCCACCGAGCCACAACCCCAAGCCACAAACCCAGCCCTTCCCAGATTCATTCTTATAAAGCGAGGCAGGTTTGTGAGGTCCTAGCATGGAGGATCTATGCCCAACCTCATTTCATCTCAACAAAGAACACGTGCGGGTGGGAGGAGGAGTGGAGCTGCAGATGCTCAGCAGAGGGTTCACCAAGCTGAAAAACAAGTTTCTTATCAAGAAGCCTGAAGGCTACACTGGGCATAGTGGATCAGGCCTGTAAACCAGCAACTGCAGAGGCTGAGGAGGAGGATCACAAATGGAGGATCACAAATGGAGGGCAGCTTCAGCAACACAGGGAGTTCAGGACTCAAAATAAAAAGAGCTGAGCTGGGAGGCTGAGCCAGGAGAATCCTGGGTTCAAAGCCAGCCTCAGCAATGACAAGGCGCTAAGGAATTCATTGAGACCCTGTCTCTAAATAAAATACAAAATAGGGCTGGGGATGTGGTGCAGTGGTCAAGTGCCCCTGAGTTCAATCTCTGGTACCAAAAAAAAAAAAAAAAAGAGCTGGGCATGGTGGTATATGTCAGTAATCCCCATGACTCAGGAGGCTGAGGCAGGAGGATCACAAGTTCAAAGCCAGCCTCAGCAATTTAGCCGGGTCCTAAGCAACTTAGTGGGATCCTGTATTAAAATAAAAAATAAGAAGGAGGGGCAATGAGGCTCAGTGGTAGAGTACGCTGGGCTCAGTCCCTAGTACTTCCGTAAAACAAACACAAAATCACTCATAGGAAAAGAACCCTGGAAATAAAAAATTACAATAAATCGAAAAGGAGTAGCTCCCAGGAGGAGGTGCAGAGTGATCTACTTGGTAACTCAGGTGAGAACTGCACCCATTTTAGGACAGTCCCCTCCTACCTGTACTGGGGATTAAACCCAGGGGTGCTTTACCACAGAGCTATATCCCCAGCCCTTCTTACTATTTTTGGGTACTAAGGATTGAACTCAGGGGCACTTGACCACTGAGTCGCATCCCCAGTCCTATTTTGTACTTTATTTAGAGACAGGGTCTCACTGAGGTGCTTAAGCCCTTGCTAAATTGCTGAGGCTGGCTTTGAACTCGCAATCCTCCTATCTCAGCCTCCTGGGTCCCTAGGATTTTAGGCATGTGCCAACGTGCCTGGCTTATTTTTTTTTGAGACAGGGTCTTGCTTAGTTGCTGTGGCTGGTCTGAATTTGTATTACTGCCTCAGCTCTAAATATCTAGATTCCAAGTGTGTCCACAGGGCGTCTGGTAGAGCTGTGGTTTTGAGGTGAAGGAGTTGCCACAGGTCACAAGGTTAATCAGCAGAAGGGCCAGTACCGGAACCTAAGCAGTCCAACTCCAGAGCTGCACTCCTGGCCCCTGAAGCAGATGGATGAAGGCCCAAGAGGTCCTGTGAGACCCTCTGAAGTGTGTGGAAGCACTGTAGGTCCAAGGGGACAAGAGGAGAGAGCCCATGGCTTGAGATCCAGTACAGGGACCGGCTAGGGGACAGTGGAGATGGGAGTGTTGGAAGAGGTGGGCAGGGCCACACTGTTGGGGGTTGGGCTTCATCCTGGACGCCATGCTGAGTCTGAGCAGCTGGATTTGTGGGCTCGCATAAGACCAGCAGGAAGTGGGCAGGGCTGTGGAAGAAGCTGAGGCTGAAGACAGGTGGGGTCATCTGGAAGCCACTGTGGTGACCCATCTGACCTGGGCAGGGCAAAGAGCTGCTGGCCAGAATCTGTCCAGTGGCCAGCTGAGAGCAAGTGCTGCAGTGTCCTGAGAGACCGGCACCACTGGATGTGCTGATGTCCCCCCAAGTTCTCAGGATCTCCATTTTTAGGCACCCAGGGATTAAACCCAGGGGTGTTTGACCATCAAGCCACATCCTTAGCCCTTTTTATTATTTTCTTTATTTTTTAGTTGTAGATGGACACAATACATTTATTTTGTTTAGCTTTTTTATGTGATGCTGGGGATCAGACCCAGTGCCTCACACATGCTAGGCAAGTACTCGGCCACTGAGCCCCAGCCCTAGCCCCCTTGTTTTTGAGACAGGTCTCACTAAGCTGCTTAGGGCCTTGCTTCATTGTGGAAGCTGCCTTCAAACGTGCCATCCTCCTGCCTCAGCCTCGGGAGTGGCTGGGATCATAGGCATAAACCACTGTGCCTGGCTAGGGAAGGCCTTAGCTCTCTGCAAAGCAGATGAGTTTTTAATCCATGCACAAAGAAAACTGGATTTAGGGCTGGGGCTCAGAGATAGAGTGCTCAGGCAGAAGGGCCAGTATAGGAACCTAAGCAGTCCAACTTAGGTAGCACGTGCGAGGCCCTGGGTTTGATCCTCAGCACCATATAAAAATAAACAAAATAAATGTATATAAAAAAATTCTTTAAAAAAATAGGACTTAGACCTTTTCTTCAGAACCTGTATTATTTATCATCTAACCAACACAGGTGGTCAGCTAGATCCCAAATAAACAAAGACATACAGAGCCCTCTCTGTCAGTCACCTGTGCAATCTGCTTCTGCTTTGGGTGGGGGGAGGGTAATTAGCATGTCGCCTTTTTTTTTAAGTATGGGGGATTAAACCCAGGGGTGCCAGGGGTGCTTTACCACTGAATTACATCCCTAGCCCATTTTATTTTTAAAATAGTTTAGTTGTCAATGGATCTTTTATTTATTTGTTTATATGTGGCGCAGAATCGAACCCAGGGCCTCACACATGCTAGGCAAGAGCTCTACCACTGAGCCACAGCCCCAGCCCCCTGCTTTTAATTTTTTTTGAGATAGGGTCTTACTAAGTTGCTGAGTTTGGCCTTAAACTTGTGATCCTCCTGCCTCAGCCTCTTGAGTTGCTGTTGAGTGTTTATTTCTAGTTATGGCATCATTTCTTTTTTTTTTTTTTATGTCTTTATTTAGCCCAGATACCGTTTCTTTTTTTCAATTTTTAAAATATTTTATTTTTTGGTTTTAGGTGGACACAATATCTATATTATTTTTATGTGATGCTGAGGATCAAACCCAGTGCCTCATGTGTGCTAGGCAAGTGCTGTATCACTTGAGCCACAACCCTGGCCCCCAGGTACCATTTCTTTACTGTGGAACTTTGGTGGGGAGATGAGGCCTCCCCCCCACCCAAATCTGAGGTGTAGTCAGTAGCCTGTTGGTATCTAAAACTTGTCTGGAGATGGGTGGTGGTGCTGTTCTGGGCGACTCTCAGGGCTGGGCTCTGTAAGTACTTAATCCCATTGTTTTTCAGAAGCCTCTGTACACCTGCACTCCCAAGAGCCAGCAGGGCCACCTGGAGAGCCCAGGGCCAGAGGAAGGTGCCTTGAAAGCAGTCACCAGGGAAGGGAAGGCAGACAGAAATCAGCTCAAACACTCCATGCTGGTCCTGGCTCGCTCCATCTCGTGCAGGAAGCTGTAGAACTGGGGCAGGGTTAATTCTGGGGAGAAAAAAAAATCCAGTTTGAGGTAAATGTTTCCAACTCTAGAACCGCACAACCCAGAGGTTTTTTTTTCCTGTACCAGGGATTGAACCCAGGGGCGCTTACCACTGAGCCACATTCCCAGCCTTTTTTTATATTTTAAGACAGGGTCTCCCCAAATTCTTTAGGGCCTCGCTAAGTTGAAGCTGCTGAGGCTGGCTTTGAATTTGTGATCCTCCTGCCTCAACCTCCCGGGTTGCTGGGATTACAGGTGTGGGCCAAGAAGCCCAGTCAGGGATTTTTTTGTTTTTGTTCTGTTGTTGTTTTTGTGTGCTGAGTTCAGGGAACCATCCCAGGGCCAGTGCATGCTAGGCAGCACTCTACCATTCAGCCACATCCTCAACCACAGATTGTTTTCTCTTTTGGCTTAGCACATCTGAGTAGCTCTAGATGGGAAACTGGTCACAGTAAAGGACAGAGTCCTGAACACAGAAGGTTCCTGGCTCCCTAAGAAAAATGGGGAAGTGTGAGAAATGGCACCACTCCACAGCACAGAGTCAGGAAAGCCTGTGGGGAGGCTCAGCCAGAGCCTCTGGTCTTCATCATGCTTGGAGCCTTCCCGCCCCCACAGTTCCCTGTTCACAAAGGGGCTTCAAGGCCAGGGTCTTCAACAGGCTGGTGGCTTAGCAAAGCTCTGGCACCAGGTTTCCTGAGGGGGAAGGTCAGGGGTGGCTCCTGCACAGCCTGGTGGAGACTCTCTCCCTGGAGACATGCTGGTGGTGGGTCTCACCAGCCTAAGCAACAGAAGAGAACCTGGGAAAGGCTCAACAGGGATCCAGACTCACCTAGGTACACATTTTCAGTTTGATTTCCTTTTTTAACCACCAACTTTAACTAAAAAAAAAACAAAAAAAAACGTAAATTAAGAGGATGACAACTGGGCAAAGAAAGTCTCCAAAACCCTTTAATCCAAATTCAATGTCAAAGCACTCCAGGGCTCTGCTCCCTAGACCCAGCCCATCATCACAGGGATGCACAGAAGTGGTCCCCATCACCCCCCATCGGAGCTCTGACACTTCCCATGATCACAGGAAGAACCAAACTTTCAGGAATAAAATTAAGATCTGTTTAATTTTTTTTGATACTGGGGATTGAACCCGGGGTACTTTATAAATGAACTACATCGCCAGACCTTTTTGTTTTGAGATAGGGTCTTACTCAGTTGCTTAGGGTCTCATTAAGTTTCTGAGGCTGGCCTTCAACTTGTGATCCTCCTGCCTCAGCCTCCCGAGTTGCTGGGATCACAGGAGTGTGCCACTGCACTGGGCTAGGATCTGTGAATCTAGAAGTAGGCAAGTCAGTGACCATGCCCTTGGATCACACTGCTCTGATTTAAATTCAGTGGAATAAGTATTTACACAGTCATTTAACATTGAACCCAAGGCCTCACACATGCTAGGCAAGTGCTCTACCACTGAGCCACACTCCTAGCCCTCCAACATAGTTTCTTTGGGGACTGAATCCAGGGCCTTGTGCATGTGAGGAAAGGCAAGCACTCTACCAACTGAGCTATATCCCCAGCCCAGTTTCTTCTTTTTCTTTTCTTTTCTTTTTGGTATAGGGTATAGAACCCAGGGTCAATTCACCCCTGTGCTAAGCCCCCAGTTATTATTTTTTCCTTAACTTTGAGATTAGGTCTCACTAAATTGCTGAGGCTAGCTTTGAATTTGCAATCCTCCTGCCCTGGATGGAATACCTGGGATTTCCTGGCTTAATAGTTTTTTTTAACCAATAAATTTTTTTTACCCATTTTCTTTTTTTTTAAGTTGTAGTTGGACACAATATCTTTATTTATTTATTTTTATGTGGTGCAGTGGATCGAACCCAGGACCTCGCACATGAGAGGGGAGTGCTCTAAGGCTGAGCCACAACCTTAGCCCTTTTTTCTCATTTTCAAAGATAAAGAGAAGACTTACTTGTAAAAAAATACTGCCCACTTTTTCTAATTCACTGCTTCCAGATGTCACTGTGATACAAAAGAGAAAAATAAATGAAGAAGTGACTGATGAAGGATTTCCCAGAAAACCCCAATTTTACAGGTTGTCAGCAGGAGCCACGTGAGTGCAAGCTGCTGGCCCCATGGTGTTTGAGACTAAGACTCCCAAACCCTTGGGATCCTGGAGTTGGCTCTGACCAGTTACCTCCAAACTTCCACTCCATGTCCATAAGCTGGTTAATCATCAGGGTCTGCCCCAGGGCCCACTGAGCAAGGGTGGGGGCGTTCTGTTTCCACTGTGAGGAGAGCAGAAGGCCAGAGTCACAACATGGGAAAAACGCACCCCCTCTCCATGCCACCCCAAACAGCAGTTCAGTATTTACAGGGAGTGGGGAGAAGACAGACCCAGGGGCTCCTCCCCACTCACACAAATGGGGGGGTACAAGAGGTATGGAGCAGCGAAGCCGAGGTGATTGTTTTCTTCCCTTCCAAGACTTAACCCATGTTGACCCCAACACTATATTTATTAAACCCAGAAGCTCAGGAAGCTGAAGCAGGAGGACTGTGAGTTCAGAGCCAGCCTCAGCCAAAGGGAGGCCCTAAGCAACTCAGTGAGACCCTGTCTCCAAATAAATACAAAATAGGGCTGGGGATGGGGCTCAAGGATTGAGTGACCCCGAGTTCAATCCCTGTACCAAAAAAACAAAAACAAACAAAAAAATACACGACCAAACAAAAAACTTTATATTCCATCAAATTAGAGAAGAAAAAATGTGACATGCATGACATGTACTAAACAAGGCGGATCAGAAGCCCTGTGTCACTGGTTGGTGTGGCACCCAAAGAAATGAGGCCTTGAGGGTCCCACCCATCAGCACTTCCCCTTTCTTTCCTTTTCACTGAAATAAAAGCAACCCATCTTAACCTTGATGACGAGAATTATACCTTTTCAGAAAAGTAAGTGGCTTTCTCCTCACTGAGGCCTGCAAGAGAAAGGGGGCTCATCAGCATAATAAACAGCCCAGAGGCCCTCCCCCAGCAGCCCTGGGCGTGACCTACCCAGAGTTACGAAATCCGCCCGGACCTGCTCAGCTGTGAGACTCCTCTTCAAGGCACCTGGGAGGCAGGGAAGACAGGGCGAGAATGAATCTGCTGCAACAAGTATTTGACCGGCATAACCTCGGGGATGCAGAGGACAAAAGGCTTATGCACCAGGAAGATTGCAACCCAGCAGGGGGAGGGGAGACACACTTCAGAAACAATGCTGGTCACTGTACAAGTACCGAGCGGCCCTCCAAGGAGGGTGGGAGAAACTGGAGACAAAACTTGAAATATCTACCTATATTTATGGTCATTCTGGTCACTTACATTGATTTATTTTTATTTATTTAAACACAGGGTCTCAGTTGCTGAGGCTGGCCTCAAACTTGCCATCCTCCTGTCTAAGCCTCTGCTGAGTCTCTGGGATTACAAAATGTGTACCACAGTGCCTGGCTGTCACTACCATTTTAACTAAAATTAAGTAAAATTTAAAAGCCTACTGTTGTGCTGTTTCAAATGCTCAGTAGCTACACAGGGTCAGAGACCGCTGCACTGGACAGTGCAGATTATAGGCCATTCCCATTTGCCTAGAAAGTTCTATGGGAGGCCAGTGATTTGGCAGCCTGAGGCCAGCCTCAGCAACTCAGTGAGGCCCTAAGCAAGTTAGTGAGACCCTGTCTCAACATAAGAAATAGCCAGAGTGGGTGATGGCTCCGTGGGAAAGCATCTCTGGGTTCTACTGGAGCTCCATGGGATGCACATGCCTGTAATTCCAGCTACTTGGGGAGGCTGAGGCAGAAGGATCACAACTTTGAGTCCAGGCTGGGAAACTTAGCAAGACACTTGTCTCAATTTTTTAAAAAATTTGTTTTAATTAGATACAATGTCTCAAATTTTTAAAAAATAACTAATAAAAGAGACAATTCTACTAGACAGTGCCATCTGGCCTCTACAGCTCACAAGTGACTTGCAGGGGGCTGTCTCAGCTTCCCTCCAGAAGCCCTAGAACACCCCTCCAGGGGTTGCTTTTTTGGCTGTAATTCCTGAAGACAGAATGTGGCCAGCAGTCTGGGCTTCTCAAGGTTTCAACTTCAGAGGGCAGCCTAGAGTCACAACCGGACAAGAGTTCTGTGACTATCCACTTCTCAATCACCAAAAAATAATTAAATAAAGGATAAAAAGACACCCAGGGCTAAGGCAGGGCCCTGAGCCTACACCCTGAGTCCAAGTGCCCACCCCCACCCTGCTCCAGGAAAACAATCCCAAAGGCTGTGGTGCCGGTAAAAATCCACCACATAAACAAAGAGAGGAAATCTTTTATCTCCAAGATCAGACTGGGCAAGGAAACCACGGGGAAATAAAAACGCAAGACCCCAGGAAACCCCAGCCATAGGCTCTTGAGAGGGGAGACTTCCCAGTCATGAGATGCACTCATGACCACCAAAGGGACAGCTCCCTGGTTTATGGCCAGAGCAGATCTTTTTTTTTTGCAAATACACTACCACTGAAATCTCCCTCCAGCCCCTTTTATTTTCTTCCTTTCTGTTGTTTAAAAATTCTCTAATGGGGGCTGGGATTGTGTGTGGCTCTGTGGCAGAGAGCTGCCTGGCATGTGTGAGGCACTAGGTTCCATCCTCAGCACCACATAAATAAATAAATAAAATAAAAATTTTGTGTCCATCTGATAAATAAATAAATGGGTCCGAGGGTATAGCTCAGATGGCAGAGTGCTTGCCTAGCAGGCACAAGGCCCTGGGTTCAATACCAAGCACCAACAAAAAATTTTTTAAAATACATAAATAAAGGTTCATTGACAACTAAAAAAAAATACACTAAAGAAAAGTCTAATCATGTAGAAGTAGGTTGTTGTCGTTTTAATGTGAAAGTGGTAAAATTGTGGGCATTTTTTTCAGGGTGGGGGCTACCAGGGATTGAACTCAGGGGCTCTCTACCACTGAGCCACATCCTCAGCCCTGTTTTGTATTTTATTTAGAGACAGGGTCTCACTGAGTGGCTTAGTGCCTCACTGCTGCTGAGGCTGGCTTTGAACCCATGATCCTCCTGCCTCAGCCTCCCAAGCCACTGGGATTACAGGCACGTGCCACTGCGCCTGGTTGTACATTTTTATTAAGAAAAAAAAAGTTACTTTTTGGGCAAGGCCACAACAGCCAGTCAGTGGCAGAGCCAAGTGGCTTTCAGGCCAGAGTGGCACCAAACCCTAATTCTTCCTGCTCCAGTCATCCTGACAGGCTGTCCTGGCCGTGCCTCCACAGTGAGGACAGGAAGGCTCACTGAGCTCCAGGCCCAGCAGCAGACTCTGGTCTCCCGCAGGCAGGAGGCAGGAGCCAGACTTAAACATGCATCTGCCTCCTGGGAGGCCTCAGGATCTCAATTTCTTCAGTTTCTTCCTTTGGTGATTCTTTGTTCTGAGCAAATGCCAGCCAAGGCAGGCCTGCAGCCCTGGACCTAAGGAGGCCTTGGGGAAAACTCCTCAGACAGCCTAATGTGCAGCTCATGCAATCAGGATTGCAGCCTGAGAAACTTAGGGAGACCCTGTCTCAAAATGCGGGGCGAGGCAGGGCTAGGGACTTAGCTCAGTGGTAGAGCACCCCTAAGCTCAATCCCTAGTACTAAAAAACACAAAAATACCAGAAAAACCCAGGCTTAAATAGAGTCTCTACTGCCAAGTTATCTGTAGTCCTAAAAGATGACATAACCATAATGACAGTCATAATTAAAGCAGCAGAGCCAGCCATCGTGCATTCTGGTCAGCACTTTACATTCATTAGTTTTCTCACCTTTCTAGCAAGCAGCTTGAGGTGCCCTCAAGCTCCATTTCATCCTTGATGAAACTGATTCTTAGACAGATTCAGTCACTTGGCTCAAGGTCTTATGCAGCCACAGGGAGTAAGCCAGAACTTTCTGGAAGGCCACCCAGCAACCAAATGCAAGGTGGAGCCCTTATGTGGATCCAGATGGGAGCAACCAACCACCCACACACTCACTGCACTAGACAATGGGGACATCTGAGCACTGATTGCATAGTTTCCTTTCAGATGATAATGACATTGTGGTTATCTTTTAGAGATAGTACTTAGCAGTAAAATGGTACAACTGACATTTACTTTAAAATAACTCAGTTTGGAGAGCAATAAAAAAGGGGTGGGTGCAGATGAAACAATTTGGCCAGGGGTGGACAGCTGTGAAAGTGGGGTCCTCTTATGAATTACATACTTGCCAGGTGTGGGTGGTGCACACCTATAATTCTAGTAACTCAGGAGGCTGAGGCAGGAGGATCACTTGAGCCCAGGAGTTTGAAACCAGCCTAGGCAACTTAAGTGGGACCCTGTCTCTTAACAAAAAAAAAAAGCACTTTTCAAAGCTTTTACTTGAGATCCCTTCTGTCCCCATCTCCCAAAAAGGAGGGCTGCACAGTTCCCAGTGAACAGACACTGGTTCAGCAGCTTCTTCCCTACAGGACTTTTCGGAGGCTGAGACGTGGCAGTGTGTGTGGGTCTCCAAGGTTTCAAGGCTAGGGCTGGGGAACAAGGAAGTCCTGGCTCTGTGTGGCCACTGAAGCCTTGTATTGGTGGACATGACATGCCCACTGTGGGAGAGTCCCTGTGAGGGCCCCTCAGCTGTGACAAGCGGCACTGTTGCAATGGCATCTCACCAGGTAAGCACAACCAGGGTTCCGGAAGAGAAGGGGATGGGACCCAAAGGCTCTTACTTTGTGGATTAAACGGTAAAAGGTCTTGGGTGCCAAACTAAAGACTCCATTACAGATGGTAAGGAGCTGGGAGCAGCAACAGGAACCATCCTGGGACCCTTAATGCCCTACCTAAGCCCCAAGGCTGAGAACTTGTCCTGGGATGGCGCCTTTGGGACTGGAAAGACAGACATCAGAGGACAAGGCAGAAGAAGGGGCCAAGCTGCAATCTCAGATGCTTCAGAGATGTTCTAGAAGAAACAGATGATCAGGCAGGAAGGCCCCGCAGGACAGAGTGTAAAAGGAAGAGAAGCTGACAGTGGACTCAGAGGTTCAGCAGATCAAACCCGAGAGCGCTCCACCCAGAACTGGCAAAGCTCTGGACCAGTCAAGAGGCAAGTACAGGTCCCCATCAGCAGGTGATGGAAACTTGATGTCAGTCTGACAGTGAGACACAGGGCCGAAAGCTGGTTGGTCAGTCAACCAATAAAGGCTTGAGGTCTGAGAGTGCAGCTCAGGGCTCAGTGCCGGGCACCTGTTCAGCATGGGCAAAGGCCTGGGTTTGATCTTCAGCGACACACACACATACACCCCTCATTTACGCTCATCCTACTTTAAAATGTTTTTTAGGGGCGGGGGCTGGGGCTCAATGGTAGAGTGTTTGCCTGGCCCATGTGAGGCACTAAGTTTGAACCTCAGACCCACGTAAAAATAAGTAAAATAAAGCTCTATCTACAACTAAAAACATTTATTTTTTTTTAATTTTTTTTTAGGTACAGGGGGTTGAACCCAGGGCCTCGAACAAGGTGCTCTGTTAGTGCTCAACCACTGAGAACCTCCCCAGCCTGGGATTTTCACTTTTGACTCCTCCATAGCTCTGCATTATTTAAAAAGTTTGTAATAAAAACGTGTTCCTGTATTAAAAGAAACTTCAATTTCTCATTCAACCAAGAGGACAAAAAAACGCAAGAATCACAGAAATAGATCAGAAAATTTTGCAATTGGAAACCTCTAGACTGTTCTGGTTTCACCCCACAGAATCTAAGGAGCATAATACAAAGCAAAGAAGGGATTTTCAGTTTGGTGCAGTAGTGCACGCCTGTCACCCCAGTGACTCGGGAGACTGAGGCAGGAGGATCACAAGTTCAAGGCCAGCCTCAGCAACTTAGTGAAGCCCTAGATGACTTAGCAAGACCCTGTCTCAAAAGGGTCTTGGTTCATGGTTAAGCACCCCTGGGTTCAATCCCTGGTACAGGGAAAAAAGTGGGGGGAAGGGAAGGGAAGGTACCACCACAGGGACAAACAAATTAAGCCCCCAGTTTCTTCTCCCTTTTTTTTTTTTTTTGGTCCTGGGGATTGAACCCAGGGATGTTCTACCACTAAGCTACTTTCCCAGTCCTTTTTAAAAATAAAATTTATTAGAGACAGGGTCTCACTAAGTTGCCCAGGCTGGCCTTGAACTTGGAATCCTTCTGCCTCACCTCCTGAGTAGCTGGGGTTGCAGGTGTGCACCAGTGTTTGGCTCAGGATGCTGGCCTAATTCCTCTCAGCCTGGCCAAAATTACTCACTCTTCAAAACTAGGCTCAAAGTTACCCTTCTCTCTCCCCCTTCTTCCCTCCACACCCTCCCCTTCTTTCCTCCTCTCTCTCCCCCTTCTTCCCTCCCCCCCTTTGCAGTACTGAAACCAGGACCCCTGTGCATGGTAGGCCAGTAAGTGCTCTACCACCAAGCTCCATCCCCAGCCCTCACATCTGTCTTTAAATAAACTATTAGTTAATTTTCCATATTAACAGTAGCAACCTGGTAGACAATACATAGCCAAAAACCAAACAATTAGACCAACTTGGAATCCTACCTTCTAGATATGGCCACAGCTAACTTTGTTTTTTGCCCCCATGCTGAGGAATCCAACCCAGTGTCTCAAATCAAATATGCTAAGCACACACTCTACCGCTGAGCTACATACACCTTCCGTTCTTAAACTGTTATTTTTATGATCAGTGGCCAGACTTGCTGGTGTGTGCCTGTACTCCTAGCACACACCAGCAAGGTGTGTGCCAAGGCCACGGCAGGAGGATCACAAATTTGAGTCCAGCACCTTCAACTTAACAAGATGCTCTATCAAAATAGGAAATAAAACCAGGCATGGTGGTACATTCCTGAAATCCCAGTGACTCCTGATACCGAGGCAGGAGGATTGCAAGTTTGAGGCCAGCCTTGGCAATTTAGTGAGGCCCTAAGTAACTTAGTAAGACGGTGTTTCAAGATAAAAATAGAAAGGGCTGGGATGTGGCTTCATGGTTAAGTGCTTTTGGGTTCAATTCCCAGTACCAGGGAAAAAACAAATCATATATTGTGAAAGTTTTCCATATTATTACATTTTCCTCAATAGCATCTTTTAAATTAGTGAATAATAGAAAAAAACCCCACCTTTTATTAGGGCTAAGTATTTTATTTACATGGTCTCAATCTGTACATGTTCCCTCTCTTTAAAAAAAAAATTGCTTAGTTGGAGGGAAGATCACTGTTCTGGAGGGCCACTTCTAGGGGTGTGGAGAGATCAGGCACCTGGCTGACTCAGAAGTGTGTGTGGTGTGTGTGTGTATATATATATATATATATTTTTTTTTTTTTTTTTTTTTTTTTTTGTAGCAGGGACTGAACTAGGGCACTTACCAACTGAGCCACATCCCCAGCCCTTATTTTTTATTTTGAGACAGGATCTCACTAAGTTGCTTAGGACCTTGCTAAATTGCTGAGGCTGGCTTTGAACTTTGGACTCTCCTGCCTCAGCCTCCTAGGCTGCTGAACTACAGGCGTGGGCCACCGTGCCTGGCAGAAGTATACCTTTTTTTTTTTTTGATAGCAGGGATTGAACTCAGGGACACTTGACCACTGAGCCAGATCCCCAGCCCCCTTTTGTATTTTATTTAGAGACAGGGTCTCACTGAGTTGCTTAGCTCCTCACTTCTTGCTGAGACTTTTGGCTTCAAATTTGCAATCCTCCTGTTTCAGCCTCCAAACCACTGGGATTACAGGCATGTGCCCCCGTGCCTGGCAGAAGTATACAATTAGTTGTAGATGAACCAATACCTTTATTTTATTTATTTTTATGTGGTGCTTAGAATCCGACCCAGTGCCTCACACACACTAGGTAAGCGCTCTACACTGAGCCCAGTCCCAGTCCCAGCCCCAGCCCTAGCCCCAGCCCAGAAGTATATGTTTTTGACCACCATGTTTCCCTATAAAGAATGACTACGGGGGCTAGGGATGTGGCTCAAGCGGTAGCGCGCTCGCCTGGCATGCGTGCGGCCCGGGTTCGATCCTCAGCACCACATACAAAGATGTTGTGTCCACCGAAAAATAAATAAATAAATATTAAAAAAAAAAAAAAAAAAAAAAAAAAAAAAAGAATGACTACGGCTTGTTAAAACAATCCCTGGCTGCCAGGCAATCTGATAGTTTCTAATTTTGCTCCACCATAAACAGTACTACAATGAACATCCCTACAGCTGAACGTTCCTGTTCCTGACCTCCTCCCTTCCACTGGGAACATTTACTGATTGTTCTAGGCAAACTCTGTTCCTCAAAACATCTGTAGTATACTTGAGCAAGCTGGCACAAGCCTATAATCCCAGTAATTTGGGAGGCTGAGGCAGGACAATCACAAGCTCAAGACCAGCCTGGGTAATTTAGAGAAACCCACTTCAAAATTAAAAAAAAAAAAAGGGCTGGGGATATAGCTCAGTTGGTAGAGTGCTTACCTTGTAGGCATAAGGCCCTGGGTTTGATCCTCAGCACCACACACACACACACAAAAAAAAAATTATTAAAAATTTAAAAATTAGGGCTGGAGATATAGCTCAAGCGATAGCGTGCTCGCCTGGCATGCGTGTGGCCCGGGTTCGATCCTCAGCACCACATACAAACAAAGATGTTGTGTCCGCCAAAAAAAAAAAATAAATAAATATTTTAAAATGTTTTTAAAAAAATTTAAAAATTAAAAATAAAAAGGTCCAGGTATGGTGGTGTACACCTCTAATCCCAGGAGCTGAGACGCTGAGACAGGAGGATCGTGAGCATACTTGGATGACTCTCTGGACTCAAGAATGCTCAGGTGCTGGGCGAGGTGGTGGCACAGGTCTGTAATCACAGGGCTAGGGAGACTGAGATAGGAGGATCATGAGTTCTAAGCCAGCCTCAGCAAAGGTGAGGTTCCAAGCAACTCAGTGAGACCCTCTCTCTAAATAAAATACAAAATAGGGCTGAGGATGTGGCTCAGTGGTCAAGTGCCCCTGAGTTCAATTCCTGGTACCCCCACCCCTCAAAAAAGCATGTTGGGTAACATCTCCAGCCACAACTGCCAATGGAGCTACTCACCATTGGGAACCAGGAGGAGGCTTTTCACGATGCTTCTGAGAGGGCCCAGACTGATCTGATTGGTGGTGGCAAATTCAGACAGTTGAGCCAGAAACCTTTCCACCTGAAAAGAGGGACCAGGAGTTCACTTTCGAAGTTCCTCAGACCCACTGACCTGTGCTTCGCAACTGTCCTTATCACAAAATACTTACCTCTTTGGGCTCGATTAGGAAGTGGAAAATTACTTCTGTCAGGGCTGAGAACTGCTGTAAAGAGAACAACACAGAACATCAGTGCCATCTTTACTATGGGTCAGTGTGCCACATCCCATCCAACCCCTTCAGGGAAAGGACCAGCAGCAGAAAAGCCGCTGGGATTACAGGTGTGCACTACCGCACCTGGCCAAAGACCTGATTTGATTATTTTTTATTATTTTTTTTGTGTGTGGTGCTGGGGATTGAACCCAGGGCCTTGTACATTTGAGGCAAGCACTCTACCAACTGAGCTATATCCCCAGTCCTGCTTTGATCATCTTAAAGTTACAAACAATCAAAATACTCACCACCAGCATCCAGGTATCTGCACCACTATATATATTTTCAAAATACTTTTTAGTTGTTAATGGACCTTTATTTATATGTGGTGCTGAGACTTGAACCCAGTGCACCACCATATTGTTGGTAAAGCACAGATGTTTTATTGAGATAGTCAGGAGACATAGAGACATAGAGAGCTAAACTGTGTGCATGCACCCGTGCAGGGACACACATAGATCTCTGGGGTTCAAATACACAAACACACAGTGAGAAAAGATCTGAAAGGGGAAATCACCAGAACAGTAAGAGCAGTTACTTAAGAGTTGGGAACACAGTTCAGGGTGACAAACTTGCCTAACGTGTAGAGGCCTGGGTTCAACTTTCAGCATGGCCAGGGCCATGGGGAGAATGCATTTATGTGTGGTAAGATACTTCTTTTAATTTTTTGCAATGCTGAGAATTGAATGAATCCAGAGCTGGTATCCACTACTGCACACCTGTAAACCCAGCTCTGGATATTCTATTCTTTTTTTTTTTTTTTGTACTGGGGCACTTTACCGCTAAACTGCATCTCAGGCCATTTATATTTTTTTATTTTGAGACAGGGTCTAGCTAGTTGCTGAGGCTGGCCTTGAACTTGCCATCCTCCTGCCTCAGCCTTCTACGTAGCTGGGGCTATGGGACTTAGCCACGTGCCCAGCCCTGCTTTGCTTCCCTCTCTTCCGGTCTACTCCACACTATATCTTTGCTGATTTGGGGGTTGATCCCAGGAGTGTTCTACTTCTGAGACACTTTGCAACCAGGCATGGTTTGGGGCACTTTGGCCAAGGCATCTCTCCAAGTTGCTGTTGCCTTTGAAAAATTTTTACTTGGGGTCAGGCTTGCCAAGGTTGGCCTCAAACTTGTCATCCTCCTGCCTACTGAGCAACTGGAATTACAGATATGCGCCACTGTGCCCAACAGGATAATTTTTACTTTCTGTTTGCCTATCCATATTTTCTGGGTACCCCTAGCACTACTGCTCACAATAAACACCTTCTTATTTATATAACAAAATAGTAAATTTTCCCAGGTACAGTGTCACGTACCAGTAATCCCAGCAACTCGGGACGCTGAGGCAGGAGGGTCACAAGTTCGGGACTGGCCTCAGCAACTTGATGAGGCCTTAAGCAACTTAGCGAGACCCTGTCTCAAAATAAATAAAAAGGAGTGGGGATGTGGCTCAGTGGTAGAGCACCCCTGGGTTCAACTCCCAATACAGAAATGAACAACAGTGAATTCTAACACTTTATTATAATGCTGTTTTGGAATAGTCTCTTGCTGTTTTGTGCTTGCAAATCTTTTTTTCTAGTGCTATTTGGTTAAGGTGAACACTTGTGTTTCCCACAAATTCTTATGTTGAAGCCCTAATGCCCAGTGTGATTTTTTTTTTTTGGGGGGGGAATTGGGGACTATGAGGTGATGGAGGTTAAATGAGGTCACAAGAGCAGGACTCCAGCCCTGAGAGGCTTTATGCATACAAGGCAAGCACTCTACCAACTGAGCTATATCCCCAAACCTATACCTGAGCTTTTACTGTTTTATTTTTTTAAATTTTTTGGGATACCAGGGATTGAACTCGGGGGCACTCAACCACTGACCCACACCCTCAGCCCTATTTTGTATTTTATTTAGAGACAGGGTCTCATTGAGTTGCTTAGCACTTTGCCATTGCTGAGGCTGGCTTTGAACTCGTGATCCTCCCATCTCAGCCTCGAGAGTGCTGGGATTACAGGTGTGCGCCACCTTGCCCAGCAAACATTTTATTTTTGAGACAGGTTCTTGCTAAGTTGCTGAGTGTTGGCATGGAACTCTTGATCCTCCTGCCTCAGTGTTCCAAGCTGCAGGGATTACAAACTGCAGGGATTACAGGTGTGAGCCCCCATGTCCAACTCCTTTATTTATTTATTTATTTATTTTTTTAAAGAGAGAGGGAGAGAGAGAGAATTTTTAATATTTTTTAATTATCGGCGGACACAACATCTTTGTTTGTATGTGGTGCTGAGGATCGAACCCGGGCCACACGCATGCCAGGCGAGCGCGCTACCGCTTGAGCCACATCCCCAGCCCTCCTTTATTTCTTTAATATTTTTTTCCTGCAAATATGTAAAACTGGCAGGACATGGTGGCATATGAATCCCAGCAGCTCCAGAGTCAGGAGGATTGCAAATTCAAGGCCAGCCTTAGCAATTCAGCAAGGCCCTAAGCAAAAAGTGAAACTCTGTCTCAAAATAAAAAACAAGGGGGCTGGGGCTGGGGCTCAGTGGTAGAGCGCTCGCCTAGCACGTGTGAGGCACTGGGTTTGATTCTCAGCACCACATATAAATAAATGAATAAAATAAAGAACCATCAACATCTTAAAAATAATAATAGTACTAAAAAATAAAAACCAAAAAGGGCTGGGGATGTAGTTACCAAAAAAAAACAAAATCTTAATTAAAAAAAAAAAAAAAAGTGGAACTGTCAGCTCTTTGGCTGAATATCCTATGTCACTCAGAGCTTTCTGAAAATTGGGTCAGCTAATTAGAATGCCAAGCACTCTTCCACTTCTAGACCCAGCCCGATACTGACTGAGGCTAAATCCTACTTTCCCCATTGGGTCTCATCCTCCAGTGTGGTCCCAAGAGGAGCTTCCTGCTAATCTGCTGTGTTGCCTGCTCAGACTTCCATCCCTAGTTCTGCTTTCCCAAATCTTCCTTATCTTTCAAAACCCTACCAAGATATCATGATCCCCCAGAAAGAAAGGGATCTATAAGAGGAAACCACAGGATGAAGCAAGACAACCTAGAGAATAGGAGAAAATACCTGCAAACAAATCATCTGATAAGGGGTTAATAATCAGAATCCAGCCAGGCACAGAGGTGCTCACACATAATCCCTGTGCTCTAGAAGCTGAGGCAGGAGGATCACAAGTTCCAAGACAGTCTCTGCAACTTAGTAAGGCCTCAGAAACTTAATGAAACCCTGTCTCAAAACATAAAAAGGGCTGGAGAGATGTGGCTCACTGGTTGAGCACCCCTGGGCTCAATCCCTGGTACCAAACAACAACAACAACAAAACCCCAAACCAGAAATCATAAGGAACTCAAACAACTCCATAGCAAGAAAACAAATAACCTAAATCAAAAATGGGCAAAACAGCTGGGCATGGTGGCACATATCTGTAATCCCAGTGATGTGGAAGAGAATTGAGAATTGTCAGTTTGAGGCCAAGCTCAGCAGTTTAGCAAGACCCTGTCTCAAAATAAAAAATAGAAAGTTCTGTGGATGTGGCTCAGTGGTTAATCACCCCTGGTTTCAATCAGGCTGAGTGGGGTGGCACATGCCTATAATCCCAGCTACTAGGGAGGCTAAGGCAGGAGGATTCCAAGTTTGAGGCCAGCCTCAGCAACTCAGCCCCTGTCTGAAAATAAAATTGTAAAAAGGGCTCAGGATGGAGCTGAATGGTGGAGAGTTTGCCTAGGTAGCAGGTGGAATTCCCAGTACTGCAAGGGGGGGGGCTGGTGTGGACAAAAGAAAAAGGGACCTTCTCTGATTCTCAACTTCTCAGGCTCCCTCTTAGAAGCTGGCCTGGGACACCTAGAATTTGCAACCTCAATGAGGAACAGAAACTTAGCAGCAAGAAAGTTCCTTGTATAGTTTTGCCTAGTCACAACACTGTAAATATTGCAAAGTGCACAGTAAGGATTTCTTGCATAGTTGCCTCTCCCTGGAATGTTCCACCCAGGACTATCCATGCATATCAAAATCTTAACTAGTATCCAGGGCCAGTAAACAGGGAAAAGAGAAAGTTCATTCTAGACCGAGAAATGCAAAACAAGGAGATAACCATTTCTCATTTATCAGATATGCAAACACAAAACTTTGAGGAGGACACCGGTGTGGGCAAAAGGACAAGGAAGGAGACAGGTCCCCACACTGTTGAGAAGACACACTGGGGCGAATTTTCTAGAGAGCCATTTTACAGTATGTATCTTTTTCTTTTTCTTTTTTTTTTCTTTTGATACTGGTGACTGAATGGGGGAGCACGTAACTACAGAGCCACATCCCCAGCCATTTTTATTTTTTTATTTTAAGTCAGGGTCTTACTGTTCTATATGTGTAATATAGGAATTCTGATGCATTCTGCTGTCATGTATTTAAAAAGTAAAACCAAAAAAAAAAAAAGACAGGGTCTTACTAAGCTGCTTTGGGCCTCCCTTAATTGCTAAGGATGGTCTCAAACTTGCAATCCTCCTGCCTCAACCTCAGGAGCATCGGGATTACAGGTATGCACCACCATGCCTTGCCATAACTGTCTTTTTTTTCTTTAGTTGTAAGTAGACACAATACCTTTATTTTATTTTTATTTGGTGCTGAGGATTGAACTAGTGTCTTATGCATGCAAGGCAATCATTCTACCACTGAGCCACAACCCCAGCCCCAGCAGTAACTAATTTTTAAGTGATCATATCTCACTTCAAGGAACATATGCTTCAGATATGTTCCAGACATGCTAACACAAAGCTGTCTCCTCCTTCAAAGCACTGTTCAGCTGGGCACAGTGACACACACCAGTGATCCCAACAACTTGGGAGGACCATAAAGGAGGATCACAAGCTCAAAGCCAGCCTCAGCAACTTAGCAAGGCCTATCTGAAAATAAAAAATAAAAATGGCTGAGGATGTGACTCAGTGGTTTAGCAGCCCTGGTTCAATCCCCAGTACAAAAACAAAACAAAATCCAATCCGGTGAGGAGGAGCATGCATGCCTGTGAGGCAGGAGGATCATGAGTTCTAAGCCAGACTCAGCAAAGGCGAGGCACTGAGCAACTCAGTGAGACCCTGTCTATAAATAAAATAAAAAATAGGGCTGGGATGTGGCTCAGTGGTCGAGTGCCCCAAGTTCAATCCCCGGTATCAAAAAAAAAAACAAAACAAAAAAAAAACAAAAAACCCAACCATGGACTGGGGATATAGCTCAGCTGGTAGAGTGCTTGACTCACATGCACAAGGCCCTGGGTTCAATCCCCAGCACCACAAAAAACAAACAAAACCAATATTATTAATACTCAGAGAAAAACCTTAAGACAATTTAATTAATTCAGACCAGGCTCCCTGGGGCCAGTGTGAACAACATAAGGAAAGCCTCACCTCAACTAACTAACTAAATAAATAAATAAAGAGCCAGGTAGAGTGGTAATCTCAGTGACTCAGGAGGTTGAGGCAAAAGGATTACTAGTTAGAGGCCAGCCTCAGCAATTTAGTTAGTCTCTGTCTCAAAAAATAAAAAGCACTGGGGGCTGTCTCTCCCTCTGGAGTGGCCTGCATTGTCTCTGGAAGGTGTATTCCTTATTTTCTGATTAAGATCTCACCTGTGCATGGTAAAAGAACTGCTTCAAATAAAAACATTGTATCATTAGCTGGGCTCTGGGAGCAGGCCTGCAATCCCATCTGAGGTAGGAGGATCACAAATTCAAAGCCAGCCTCAGCAAAAGGGAGATGCTAGGCAACTCAGTGAGACTGTCTCTAAATAAAATACAAAATAGGGCTGGAGTGCCCCTGAGTTCAATTCCCAGCACCAAACAAACAAAAAACCCCAAACACCATATCATTAAGCCAGGCACACTGTAATTTCAGTGATTTGAGAAGCTGAGACAGGAGGATAGCACCGTGGAGGCCAGTCTCTATCAAGTGCCAAAACCAACGAACCAAACAAAAAACCCACCAGAAACTTATTAAAATGACTATTTCTGGGCATGAGAAAAATACACATTTTACTTATACCTTTGTATACTGCTCAAATTTTTTGTGTGTACTGCTTTCATTTCTACCTACATAAAGTGACTGTGGACCATTTTTTTCCCTTTATTTATTCATTTACTTTTTTAAATTTTGAGACAGGGTCTCCCTAAACTGCTTTGTTGGACCTTGACAAATTACTGGGGCTGCCCCTGAATTTGGTATTCTGCCTCAGCCTCCCAAATCATTGGGATTACAGGTGTGTGCTACCATACTCCACACCTTTTTTCCTTGATAATTTTCTGAATTTATTCTCATAACCAATCTAAAAATAGGGTGGGTGGGTTTGTTTGTTTTCCTGGTTTGTGGTGAGGCATTCTTGTAATCCCAGTCATTTGGGAGACTGAGGCAGGAGGATTAAATTGGAGGCCAGCCTGAGCAATTTAGCAGACTGTGGATGTGGGTCCCTGGTAACCCCTGACCCTGGTTCAATCCCCAGTATTAATAACACTAATAAATATATGTGGCCACTAGAAAACATAGTATTAGATCTGTGGTTTACAATTTCTTTCTTTCTTTTTCCTTTGTGGTGCTGGGGACTGAAGCTAGAGGCCTTGCACAGGCTGGGCAAGTGTCCTACCACTGAACTATTGCTGGACAATGCAGGCTTAGACCATGCTTGGCTTTACAATCCAGGTCACCATGAAAACAGAGGAAGTGCCATTTTGATCCACCAAAGGGGGTGTTAGGAAGCCCTGGAAAGGAAAGGAGAGGAAAGACAAGGGCCCCACATCCTGGGAAGCTATAACCCAGTCGGAGACTGAGTGGTGAGAAATGTCATTTTATCCTCTTTAACTCGGCTGCCTGGGCGGTTTGAAAGGGGCATCCTAATAAGCAGGGGAACAGATGCCACCAGGGCGTCCAGACTTTGCTGGCAGCTGCAGAAGAGGGAGAAGAAGGCTTTTCCGGTTCCACCTCCAGGACCGGGGCCTCCACCTCGGCCTCGCCTTGGACATTTTGGAGACCGGGGCCTCCAGCTGCTCAGGCCCCTCGTCCCCAACGCGTGCTGTAGTCCCGCGCTCCCTGACCTCCCTCGGTTCCCCGAGGGACAGCTCATCAGCGCCTGCGCTGTGTCGTCCTCCGAGGACCCCACACTCCCGGGGTCGCAGGACGCCCGAGAAGTCTCCCGCCGCACCTCTGCGCCCCGCAGCCCCGAGATCCCTCGGCTCAGCCCTGAAAGGCCCCGAGCTGGCCGCAGCCGGCCCCGCGCCCCCGCCGCCCCGCGGCGCCCACCTGCGCGCCCAGCTGGTTCAGCTGCTGCATGTCGCCGCCCACGGCCTCGGGCACCGCGTCCTGCGTGCAGTGCAGGCGACCCATGGCCCCGGCCGCCCCGCAGGTCCCGCCGCCGCCGCCGCCCCGCCGCGCTTCCTCCTCCGGCGGCCTCGCCGCGCTTCCGCAGCCGCACTTTCGCCACGGCCGCGCGCGCCCCCGGTCTCCCGCGGCTCGGAGGAGGGCCCTGCGCAGCGGCGCGGTCACGCGCGGGAGTCCCCGCCAGGACCCTGGATAAGGCGCCTGGCCTCTCTTTACTGTCTGTAAAAGGACACGGGTGGCTGCTTAAAGGCGCCCATTCTGCCAGAAAGCTGACAGCTTCGCCTCCAGGAGGTCTTCCATCGTGGCTCCTTGCTCTCCGTGTCATCACCTTTGTTATTAATCATTCGCAAAACTTTTATTTCTTGCGGTGCTGAGGATTGAACCCAGGGTCTCACTCCTGCTAAAGTGCTCTACCGCTGACTTAGCGTGAACAGCCCTCAGCCTGGATTGCATGCCCACCCGATGCCAGGCCCTGGGACTAGAGGTGGGAACGACCACAGCAGGCATGGCCCTCAGGGAGGAAAGCCACAGCTCCCAAACTCTGCAGGGCATCAGAGTCTTGGAGGGCATGGCCTAAGGCAAGTGCTGGGCCTCCCCCAGTCTAAACTGGGAGGCCCCAGGTGAAGCCTGAGAATTTGCATTTCTAACGAATTCCCTTGGAACCACTTGAGAACCTGCAGAGTAGAGGCATCTGACCCATCAAAGGTTACTCAGAAGGACTGTGATTGTGTGGGCTGGCAGTGGTCAGGTGGGAGCGAGGTTATTGAAACAGCATCTTTGTAGCCCTCAAACCATCTTTTTTTTTTTTAGTGAGAGAGGGAGAGAGAGAGAGAGAGAATTTTTTTAATATTTATTTTTTTTAGTTTTCGGCGGACACAACATCTTTTTTGTTTGTGGTGCTGAGGATCGAACCCGGGCCACACGCATGCCAGGCGAGCGCGCTACCGCTTGAGCACATCCCCAGCCTATATATATATATATATATATATATATATATATATATATATATATATATATATATATTTAATTTTGGCAGATGGACACTGGGAATTGAATATATATATATATATATTTAATTTTGGCAGATGGACACTGGGAATTGAACCTAGAGGTGCTCTACAACTGAGCTATACATCTCCAGCCTATTTTTACTTTTAGACTGGGACTCTAAATTGCTGAGGCTGGCCTTGCCTTAAGGTGTTCCTTCTTCAGCTTCTCAAGCAGCTGGGATTACAGGAGTGAGCCACCATACACAATCAGCCCTCAAACTCCGTTTGTGTGTGTGTGTGTGTGTGGTCGGGTACCAGGAATCAAACCCATGGGCGCTTAACCACGGAGCCTCATCCCCAGCCGTTTTTTTATGTTTTATTTAGAGATAGGTTCTAGCTGAGTTGCTTAGGACCTCACTAAATTGCTGAGGCTGGCTTTGAATTCTTGATCCTGTTGCCTCAGCCTCTGGGATCACAGGCAGACGCCACCAGGCCTGGCTCTCAAACTCTTCAAAGCCTATGTTCTCTCTTCTTAGGGATCCCTCCCTGCCCTCGACTGAGTATTGACCTGATTGACCTCTTACATATGAGAAAACAAAAGTTTGCTACCTGAATTTTGGGACCTGACCCCCAAACCCAAGAGCTTCATCTAGCCTTGAGTCCATCTTGAGGGCTTGGAGGCAGCACTAGAATCCTGCAGGGGTGATGGGGCAGAAGGAGTGACTGGCTTTCTCCAACAGACCTCCTCTCTTCTTGCCTGAAAGTCCCTTCTGGAAGGGTAGGAACAGAAGGTTTCTGCCCTGAGGTCAAATCTGTGTTCAGTCTTCATTTCAATTCATGTATCATTCATTCAACAAATATTGACACCTGTCCTGAGCCAGATTCCATAATAGGGGTTGATTGAGCCTATATTAAGCCCATAGTGACAAAATTAGATGCAGTTCCTGGCCCCTGAGGAGTCACAGTTCATTCGGGGAGACAGACAAGCACAAATGAATCCCATGCACAAGTGACCAAAAATTTTACTTTTTGATACTGGGAATTGAACCCATGAGCTACATTTCTAGCTATATTTATTTTGAGACAGGATCTCTGTAAGTTACCAAGACTGTCCTCAAACTTGTGATCCTCCTGCCTCAGGCTCAGTGGTCCCTGGGATTACAGGTGTGTGCCACCACACCTGGCACATTGGAAATTATTAACAGATGCCAAGAAGCAGGGTGCTTTCAGAATGTACACAGGGTGGTGCAAACCTGTTATCCCAGCTACTCTGGAGGTTGAGACAAGAAGATCACAAGTTCAAGGCCAGTCTTGGCAATTTAGGGAGGCCCTAAGCAACTTGGTGAGAACCTGTCTCAAATAAAAAATAGGCTGGGCCTGATGGTGCATGCATGTAATCCCAGCATCTTGGGAGGCTGAAGCAGGAGAATTGCAAGTTCAAAGCAGCCTCAAAAACTTAAGCCCTAAGCAACTCAGCAAAAGCCTGTCTCTAAAAATGTTAAAAAGGGGTGGGGATGTAGCTCAATGGTTAAGCACTCCTGGGTTCAATTTTTTTTTTTTAAAGAGAGAGAGACAGAGAGAGAGAGAGAATTTTTTTTTAAAAATATTTATTTTTTAGTTCTCGGTGGATACAACATCTTTGTTTGTATGTGGTGCTGAGGATCGAACCCAGGCCGCATGCATGCCAGGCTTGAGCCACATCCCCAGCCCCCAGGTTTCAATTTTTTAAAAAAAATTTTTTAAAGGAGCTGGGGCTGTAGCTCAGTGGCAGAGCACTTGCCTCCTAAGTGTGAGGCACTGGGTTTGATCCTCAGCACCACATAAAAATAAATAAACAAAATAAAGATATTGTGTCCATGTATAACTAAAAATATCATTTTTTTTAAGAAAGAGAGAGAGAGAGAGAGAGAGAGAGAGAGAGAGAGAGAGAGAGAGAGAGAGAGAGAGAATTTTAATATTTATATTTTAGTTTTCGGCGGACACAACATCTTTGTTTGTATGTGGTGCTGAGGATCGAACCCCAACCGAACGCACACCAGGGGAGCGCGCTACCGCTTGAGCCACATCCCCAGCCCGACTAAAAATATCTTAAAAAAAAAAAAAAAAGGGGCTGGGGATGTTTTCAGTGGTTAGGGACCCCTGTACTCAATACCCAGTACCAAAAACAAAAACAAAAAACACATCCTTAAGGAAACCACTAGATTTCTCTAATTTCTGTTCTCATAGTGGCAGGTGCTGAGATACTCAATAAATGTGTGGAATCAAATTGAAGGAAATTAAGAAAAGGGAAGTATTCACCCAACACTGGTTACAAGGTACCCTCTTGCCTGCCAGTCCTTTTCTTGTTCTTTTTCTTTATAGCTGGGGATTGATTCCTATCCTCCCCACCACCACCCTTCTACTTCTCTGCCAGTTGTTTTCTACCATTGCAGTCACTGGGGTTCTGTGATTTGTTTTTCCACATTTGGGATTCTTCCCTTGCACCATGCCATCTATCTATCTATCTATTTATTTATATAATGTGGAGCTGGGTATTGAACCCAGAGCCTTGTACATGTAAGGCAAGCACTCTATCAACTGAGCTATATCCCCAGTCTAGCACTACTCTGATTTTTGGACCAGTATGGATATCACCTAGGAGCTAACAATTTAGGAGACATGCAGAATCTCAGGCCTGCCAGACTTGCTATTTAGGATCCACTTTAAAATTTTTTTTTTTCCTGTGTTTGGTCTCCAACTCCAGACCTCACAGATGTTAAGCAATCTTTCTACCACTAAAACTAGACTGTAGACTATCAGCCCTCAGGATCTGCATTTTAATAAGATCCCCAGGCAATCTTGGGCCCATTAAAATTTAAGGTTCTAATAATAATGATCATATTTAATAATAAACATTTTAAGTGCCTACTATGCTTCGTGCTTTAAGCACCTAAATACATGTCATGTATAATGACCATAATATGTTTGAATTGCCTACCTATTATTGCTTATATTCTTCTTTTCTTTTTTTGGTATCAAAACCCAGAATGAACCATTGTTTGTATTTTGAAGTCTATCACATTGTGTTACTGCTGTCCTTTATACATCTGTCCCCCTGACACACTAATGATATTGCTTTGGACAAATTGCTAATCTTTCTGGGTCTCTATTTCTTTTTTCCCTTATAGAATGAAACAATAATGGAATCTACTTGAAAAGATAAAATCAAGGCTTAAGGAGCACTTAGCACAACAAAATGATTCTTGGAAAATGCTCAATAGGGGCTGGGTTGTGGCTCAGTGGTAGAGTGCTTGCCAAGCATGAGCAAGGCCCTGGGTTCAATCCTCAGCACCACATAAAAATAAATAAAGGTATTGTGTCCAACTAAAAAATAATTAAAAAAAAAAAAGAAAATGCTCAATATATGCTCCTTATTCTAAGTTTTCAGTCTTATAAAAAGAGCATGGCAGGGCTGGGGATATAGCTCAGTTGGTAGAATACTTGCCTTGCATGCACAAGGCCCTGGGTTCCATCCTCAGCACCAAAAAAAAAAAAGCCTGGCAGCCAGGCAGGTGCAGTGTAATCCTGGCCAGGTGCATGCCTGTAATCCTGGCCACTCTGGAGGCTAAGGTAGGAGAAACTCAACTTGGAGGCGAGCCTCATCAAATTAGGGAGGCCCTAAGTGACTTAGCAAGAACCTGTCTCAAAACAAAAAGGACTGGGGCTGTGGCTCAGTGGCAAAGTGCCCTTGGGTTCAATCCCCAGTACAAAAAAAAAAAAAAAATTTAAAAGAGCAAGGGTTCAGGGGCCGGGGTTTTGGCTCAGTGGTAGAGCACTTGCCTAGTATGCATGAGACACTGGGTTTGATCCCTGGCATCACATAAAAATAAACAAATAAAATAAAAGGTACTGCTGCATCCATCTACAACTAAAGAATAAAAATAAAAAAAAAGAGCAAGGGTTCAAAGGTCTTGACACCAAGCACTTCTAGAAGATTCCCTGTAGAACTTAACTTTCACAACAATGTAATGAAGGTACCAGGGCATAAAACAGGCAGGACATTTAGACTCTAGGGAGTACAGAGAGACAGAGAGGGAAAGGAAAAGAGAGAGAGAGGGGTAGATAGATCACATTCATATAACTTAGTATTGTTCTCATCATTTTACTGCTGTGGATCTCTTACTGTGCCTAATTAATGAATTAACTTTCGCTAGGTGTGTATGTGCAGGAAAAACCTAGTCTATGTCAGATTGGGTAGAAGCTGCAGCTTCAGGCGTCCCCTGGAGGGTCTGGAACCCTGGCCTCCTGAAATACAGGGGGACCTCTGTAGATAAGAAAGTAGTTCTGATGTTCTTCAGAATGCACTGCCAGAGGAAGGAAGAAGAGGTGATTACTGTTAATGCCTTAAGTCTGCAACAGGAAATGCAGGCCTGGGCCAGGCCTCCCTTCCAGAGAGCCTCCTCCCGCCCCCATTTGAGACTTAATGAGGGACCCTGCTCCCTCCATTCAATTTAAAATGTCCCTGTGGAGGGCAACCGAGTCCCCACCTCCCCACCCCTCCCCCGCCCCTGCAAGTGAAAGGAGTTCATTAAGAAGCAGATTTCAGGCCCCTAGGACTCCCGCTGGGAATTTCACCAAAGGGCCAGGTTTTCCTAGGTGAAAGGTCTGCCCTGCACAATCCAAATGCCAAAGGGCATGTTTTAAAAATTCAGCTTTTAATTTTGAGACAATTGTAGATTCATAGTTGTAAGAAATACTCTAGGCGCTATAGTATTCTGACCCAGTTTCTCTGGATGCTCAGATCCAAAGGTGGCGGGACCAGGATATTGACGTCCAAGATTCCGAACATTCCCAGGAAGCCAGGATCTCACATCGCCTAGGGCGATAATTTCACTGACCAGCTCCAGGGCTTCTTTCTATCAACATCTAGAACAAAAAATTCCATTGGATATTTTTACGTTTCGGTTCTCATTATGATCTTTAGTCCCCTAATTAGAAAATCACATAACAAATTAAAAACACAATTGGTTTGGACTTTTGACATCTATGTCACAAAAGTCATTGATAAGGAAATGCTGCGATTGTTCCAGATTCAAAGAAACTAAAAAAGATAGGGCCAGGGGTGTGGCTAAGTGGTAGAGCCTTCCCTCGCTGAGCATGCGCGTGAGGCCTGGAGTCCAATTTTTAGCACCTGGAAAAAATTTATTCTATCAATAAAGTCAACCAGGCCCAGGTAGGATGGACACTGACCAAAAGTAGGGCCCTGGCCGCAGTCCTACTGAGTGGCTTAGTGTAGAAATTGGCTCTGAATTTGCTGGAAGCCGGAGTGGGGGGTGGGGGAGTCAATTCCACTTCTAGTTTTTAATCCTTAAACAGGTAAATTAATGAAAATAATCCTCTATTGTTGGACTTCAAGGGAAGTTGGAATTCTCTGATTTCTGTATAGAATTTGGTGATGAAATTGTTTGCTGGTTCAAAGATCCCTGTCTCAATCTCAAGATTGTTGTTGTTGAGATACATTTTCAAAGTGGTATTCCTGGGGAAAAGGACGTTAAAACTGTCACCTCTAGAAATCTGTTTTTTAAAGGGCCCTTTAAAAAGGTGGAGGGCAGGGATAATAATGCTCCACTTTTCGGAAATCTCACCCTTCATTACAAATTCATGGTAGAGATCACTTTGCCTGAGAAAATGAGGCCTGGGATCTCTATTGCTGGCTTTGTTTTTCTCTATAGAACAATTATAAAGTGAATGCCTGGCCAAGCCCCCCGTCAAGGCCTGCTATGCATACCTCTGCTGGGTGCTTGTGAACACAACTGGGTGTAACCTGGGAGCTGTTACTTGGAGAACTTTCTCTTCTTTTTGCATCATTTGAAAGATGGAGGGGTCCGTTCCTTCATTCAGGCCCTAGACCTTCAATAAGCACTTCCTGTATGCCAGGCCCTGTGCTAGGTGCTGGCCACAGGGCAGTGAACACGACAGACTGTTGCTCCTCCCTTCTGCTGCCCACGGTCTGGTCTTCTGAGGGAGAAACACCTTACTTGAAGCCTCAGTTGAAGACATTCAGGGGAGAAGTGGAGGAAGGAGGCAGACTTGAGCCTGAAAGATGAACAGCAGCTCAGCAGACAGAGTGTCAACTATCACCAGGCTCTAGACAAGGACACACACAGGGAAGACCCAGGGTCCTGGGCATCTCACCCAAGCCTGGTTTGCAGCATCATGCTGGGTTTATGAAATTCATGAAGCTTGAAGGGAAAGGAATTACCCAAAGAAAATAAGGACAGTTTTATAAAAGAGGTTTGAACACATCCCCTCTGTATTTATTCTCAAACAGAGCAGGAGGGGCGGGGGTGTAGCTCCTCTACCAAGGGTTTGATCTCCAGCACTGCAAAATAAAGGAGGAGTCAGTATTCGGTCAACCCATCAGTGCAGAGCTGATGAAGCCTGAACGTGGAGCAAATCTAGGAAGCAAAATCCTGGTAACAGGAGAGGAGTCAAGGATGGCACTATGAATTTTGGGCTTATTCCCTGCTACACAATCTGCCTCTTTTTTTTTTTTTTGACAGTAGAGTCAGCAGGTCCCCAAAGAGGGCAAGACACTTGCCCATGTTCCTTCAGCGGGGTAGCAGAGGTAGCAGGAGAACAGAATCAAGGCTGGGAACCTCTCCTCAGCCATACTTTCCCTCCAGAGGTCAAGTCTGAACTTCCAAAGTTAAGGGAAGCCAAGTCCAGGTGACTTGCTGGTTTGCCTGAGGGCAGGGTAAGGAGATGATGACAGAGAGCTTCCAGGGAGGGAAAGAACATTTAGTGAATGCCCAGTATGGGGTACAAGTGTCCTTGCTCTCAGGAACCTCAGTGTGGATGAGTCAATGTCAATGTTACTGCAGGAGCCTGGGGGTATAACTCAGGGCTAGAAACTTGCCTACCAAGGGCCAGGACCTGAGTCCCATCCCCAGCACTTCCCCCCCCAAACACACACACACACACACACACACACACACACACACACACACACGAGAGAAAGGAAAAGAAGACACTGATGAATGCTACCTGACCATATTCTTCTGTGCTCTTGTCTAGTGAGGTACATTTATATAAAATAGTTCAATGACCCATTTTGGGATTTAAAAAAAAAGGAGAAAACAAGAGGTTTGGGTGTTCCTGTTGAAAAGGAAAGGTGAGAAACCCACTTTGCAAATGAAGGTGGCTGCTAATGACACCACAATTAAGACCCTCGAACTTCACAATGGGCTCTTTCACATACAAGCCCCAGGCCCCACAGTCCCTGGAATCAGCCTTACTAATTTTATTATTATTCCAATTAGAGTGGCCAGAGGACTGAGGGCAAGCTCCTTTGCATAGTACATAAGGTGTGGGGGGGTCACACGTGACAGAGGGGGTTGGCTCCAGCTGGCACTCCCTGCTCTGCCACCAAACAGAGGTGGCTCTGGGACAAACTGCCTCCACTTGCTGAGCCTCAATTTCCTCAACTAGAAAACGGTTCAGGGTCCCCAACGCTGCCTGTAGACCTAGAGGTGAACTGGGCTCACCTTAGTAGCAGGGAGCTCAAGGGACAGACAGAGCTATCTCCACCCGGAGGAGGCAAAGAGAACATTCAACTCTGTCCCAGTGGGGAACAGCATGTGTTCACTATTGATAACAATATAGTTTTTTATTTAATCAGCACTTTCATGGTATTTTCCAGTGAGCTAGGCACTGTCTGAAATTATTTATATATATAATTATATATATATAATGGGAATTATACGACCATTTATATATATATATATAGTCGTATAATTCTCATTATAACCCTTTGAAGTAGGTAAAATTATTATCTTCATTTTAATGATGAAGAAATTGAGACAAGTCTTGTGGTCTTGTGCTCATTAAAACTACCTGTCTGCTGGGCACGGTGGTGAAAGCCTGTAATCCCAGCAGCTCAGAAGACTGAGGCAGGAGGATCCTAAGTTCAAAGCCAGCCTCAGCAAAAACTAGGTGCTAAGCAAATCAGTGAGACCCTGTCTCAACATAGAACCGGAGAAGTGGCGCATTGGTCTTGTGCAGCTGAGTTCAATCCCTGGTACCATCCTGCCCAAAATAAACTTCCTGCCCTATATTAAGCACCTATGATCTACTGTGCTAATCACTTCATAGATATTATTAAAAACCTGTCAACCTGCCGTTGGGGCTATAAAAACCTAAAAGATGATAGTATAATTCAAGACAAATGCAATATTGAACCAGCACTACTTTGTATTTTATTTTGAGACGGGGTCTCACTGCCTTGATAATTTGCTGAGACTGGCTTTGAACTGGCAATCCTCCTGCTTCAGCCTCCCAAATCGCTGGGATTACAGTCGTGTGCCAATGTGCCCGGTCATAATTTCTAAATTATAGAAGAGTTTCAAGGTTTCAAAGCTGGTACAGAGAACTCATGATTTTTAAAAAATATTTTTAAGTTGTAGATGGACACAATATCTTTATTCTTATTTATTTATTTTTATGTGGTGCTGAGGATGGAACCCAGGGCCTCATGCACGTTAGGCAAGTTCTCTACCACTGAGCTACAATCCCAGCCCCAAGAATTCATGATTTGATCACATGCTTGCTAGGAAGTCAATCCTTCTATCACTGAGCTACGCCCTCAGTCCAGATCACAGAGTTTTTATCTCCTTAATGCACATTGATCACCTTTTTGATTATAATGATTGTGATCTGATGGGATATGTTTTAAAGTAAATGCTGAGGTGACCACACAGAGCAGCTGCTCACTCAAAGTCTGGCTTCACCCCTGATTAACCTTGTATATGTCCCTCTGTCCTCTGTGCTTTAGTCCCCTTACCTGAAATGGGGCCCCCAAACACCTTTCCCCTGCCTCCCAGTGGGGTGGATGTGAGGCTCAGATAAGATGGCAAATACAACCAAAGGCCTTTGCAAACTGAAGTTCTGTGCCCTGGGGAGGCCACAGGCCATTTTTCCTTCCACCCATTCTCCTGATGGTTATGATCCTTTCTGAGTGCCAGGACCTGTCCCGTCCGGCAGGACACATCAACGTGGGCAGCGAACCTAGATGGGGAGGAATGAAGGGACAAGAGACACGAAAGGTGACAGCAAGACAAAAATTCTGATCAAGCTGCAAACTTTTATTGTTCACACAGGGGTATTTATATGCTGGGGATGGGGAAGCTCTCTAATCAACAACTGCTGGATGTGGGTGGTAAAACTGCCAGGTGCAAGATGTCTGATAGGTAGCTGCAGGATGCCTCCCAGGCAGGATGTCTCCCAGGGGGCTGTCAGGCTAATCTTTGAAGGAGAATTTCCTTCTAGTCCCTGACAAGGACCAAGACCACCTGTCATTCAGATACTTGCTCTTCCTGGATTTAGGGCTATGCTGTCCCCAGAAGTGCCTGTCTTGTTTCAGCTCACCCAGCCCCTTGCCATCTGAACCAGCATTCTCCTTGGTGGCACAGACATCCTGTGCCAGGTGGCAGGTCTTGGCTTAATGTTCAGAAAGCAGAGGTCCACCAGGCCTCCCAAGATCATAGAGATTTTTTTCCACATAGACCTTCCCTAGATGGTGGGGCTAAACCATAAGTCCTCCCAAGAGATCCCCTTCTTGCTGGGTGTGATGGCACACCCCTGTAATCCCAGCAACTGTGGAGGATGAAGTAGGAGGATTGCAAGTGAGGCCAGTCTTAGCAATTTAGCGAGATCCTGTCTTAAAATTAAAAAATAAAAAATGTTGGATGCCTATAATTGCAGTGGCTTAGGAGGCTGAGGCAGGAGCATTGCAAGTTCAAGGCCAGCCTCAGCCACTCAGAGAGGCCCTAAGCAACTGTCTCAAAATAAAAAATAATTTGTTCCCAGGTTTTGGCACCAAAAATAAATAAATAAACAAACAGGGCTGGGGATGTAGTTAAGCACCCCTGGGTTCAAACCCTCATACAGAAATTTAAAAAAAAAATGACTGGGGGTATAGCTCAGTGGTAAAGTGCCCCTGATGCCAATCTCTAGTACCAAAAAAAAAAAAAAAAGAGAGAGAGAGAGAGAGCGCAAGCTAGAGAGAAGAGATCCTCTTTGTCATCTTTATTGGTCTTCCTGTAGCAATTGACCAGAATAATACACTTTATTTTATTTTTGTACTGGGGATTGAATCCACAGTGCTCTACCATTAATCTATAAACCCAGAAATTTTTATTTTTATTTTGAGACAGAGTCTCACTAAATTGCCCACACTGACAACCAATTTGCCATTCTCTTGTTTCAGCCTCTTGAATCACTGGGATTATAGGCAGATGCCACCAAGCCTGGCGGGAACATACTTTTGGGTGTTTGTCCCCAACACCAAGAATTTCCTGCTGCTCCTCCCCCTCAGGCCCTGCAGGGAACAAGGCAGGTGCTGAGGCAGTTCCTTCCTCAAGTCTCCTTAGCCTTTTCCTGGGCTCTTAGGTAGAGAAATATCCAGTGAGTTTAGACACTTTAGCAACTCTTAAAGTCTTTGCCATTTGCTCATTTAATCACTAACTGGCAAGAGATGCATGGAGGCCAAGGTGCTAGGAACAGCATTTGCCGGTAATCCCAGGTACTCTGGAGGCTGAAATCAGGAGGATTACAAATTTGAGGCCAGCCCAGGGCAATTTAGTGAAATACTGCCAAAAAGTCAAATTTATAAAAGGGCTGAGCTGGGCACGTACTTCATTGGTAGAGAGCTTGCCCTGCACGAGTGAGCCCTGGGTTCAAGCCCCAGACAGAAAGACACACACACACACACACACACACACACACACACACACACACACACACACGGCAAGGAGAAAGCTGGGTTTACTCAGACCTAGAGCCCCAAAGGCAGGAAATCTGTGTTCCTTCATTCATTCAACAAACTTGTATCCAGCTCCTTTTGGTACTGGGCTTCCCCTCCCCCCATCATTACTAGAAAGAAAATTTGCATCAACCCCAGATAGACAGATGTAGTTCCTGCCTTTTTAGAATGAACTTTACAATGTGTATGTAGAACCCTGTAAACAAGAAAAGAAATATGCAAATCAATTTCAGCCAGCTCTAAGAGCTACCTGATCAGAATGAAATAGAAAAGTAGTGATGGAGAGGGGAGGTGGTTCGGTGGGGCAGTCGGGAAGAGCTTCTCCGGAAGGTGACCTTTTGGGAGAGAACTGAGTGGTGAGAAGTTTGTCATGCAGTGCTCTGGGAAAAGAATGTCCAGGTAGAAGGAACAGCCGCGCAAGTCCAAACTGCAAACAGCAAAGAGGAGGGAAGATTGGAATGGAGTCAGCGAGGGGAGAGGGCAGGAGATACCTGAAGAGGTAGGCAGCATTAGCTCATTACAGGGTCTTGTAGACTCTCCTGTCAATCATTCCTGTATTCACTTAACACATTTATTTTTAATATGGGGGCTTGAACCCAGGGCACTTAACCACTGAGCCACATCCCGAGCCCTTTTTATTTATTTATTTATTTTTAATTTTGAGATTGGGTCTCACCAAGTTGCTTAGGGCCTCACTAAGTTGCTGAAGCTGGCCTTGACTTGCAGTTCTCCTAATTCAGCTTCTGGAGACCCTGGGATTACAGGCATGTGCCACCATGTCTGGTTTAAGACTTATTTATTGAGCGTCTACTTTGATCCTGTCCTCAGTCTAACACATGGAGACAATTAGCAGATAAAGGAAATAAATAAATATAAATACTAGGTACGGTAATATTAGGAAGCACCATTTTCAGATAATACAATGGCCATTTAACGGCAGAGGCAACAAGACGTGCTCATGGAGTCGGGCTTCTTCCTCAGGGAGAGGATGTGTGCAGAGCCTGGGAACCCAGGCAGCCAGAGACCTGATGGCCTCTTCTCTCCGTTCCCCTCCCCTACGCTAAAGATGGCTGACAAAGACCTAGCTGGGTGGAAGGGAGGAAGGGCTAGTTAGAGGGTCCACAGCGGGGTGACCTGCAGAGGCATAGCAGCGCCCCAGTGGCACTGCGACTGACTGGAGGTGAGGGTGAAGCGGAGACTGCTTGCTGTGTGACTTCAGAGGGGGCCTTTCCGTCTCTGGGTCCCGCATCCAGATCTGTCTGGGGTGGGGTGGGGGGGCTGGATAAGGAGGAGAGTTGGGTATCTGCAGTCCCCTTCAGGCTGGTTATCCCCGTCGGTGATTTAACAGGCCTTTGGGGACGAGAGGCGGCGCCCGCGGAGGAGGGGCCGAGGGAGGCTCCCGGAGTGATTTCAAATTTCCCTCGTCCGCTCCCCCCCGCGCCGCGGCCGGGCTCTGAGTGGCTGCGGCGGGGGCGGCCCCGGGTGGGGGCGGGGCGAGGGCCGGGCCGGGGCTACAAGGGGAGTCGGCGCCGCCCCCTGCCCACCCTCAGCCGCTGCCCGGCCCGGCCCGCGCCGCTCCCACGCAGCAGCCGCCCCCAGCCCCGCCGCCTCGGCCCGCGTGGACGCCCCGGGCGCCCCCCGACGACGGCACCGGCCCCCTGGCAGGCGGGCGAGCGGGCGGCCGCGCCCGCCGGCACCGCGGGGGTTAAGTGGCCCAAGTAAACGTAGCTCGGCGATCGGCGCCGGAGATTCGCTAGCCCAGCGCCCTGCGCGGCCGCCCGCCGCCTCCCGCCAGCCGGTCCCGACCCGCGGAGCGACCACCGAGCCGCGCCCGAGCCAGCCCCGCGGCAGGTGAGCGTCCCGCGGCCCCCGAGGCTCGCGACCCCGCGCGGACGGCTCGTGGGGGCGAGCTCGGGGCTCCGGACGGCAAGGGGACTCCAGGGACCTCCTGGGGAGGGATCCCCGCCGCTCCGCGGACCTGGCTTGAGGGGTGGGGCGTGGGGAAGGGTCCCCTGACCCCGCGCGGGGTGGTGTGCAAGCGGGACACGGGAGCTTGTCTTACCAGGAGGGGACACGCATAGAGGGCTACCCTGGTACCCCGAGAGCCGGGAGGGAGAGTTCCGACCCCAGGGAGCGGCTGCAGCCTCTCTGGGGTCTAGAATCTAGGGAAGAGGTGCCCTCCCCGGGAGTGGAGCCAGAAGGGATCTTACCCGGGCGGGGGGTCCTTACCTGGACTTGGCCTTAGGGGAGACCCCTTCGGAGTCTGGGGAGGAGGAAGAGGGAGTTGTGCTGTGGAGGTGGGCGTGGGTCCGGCTTGGGCATTCAGGAGAGGGGCCGTCCGGCTGCCTAAGGGCTAGGGTGGTGCTTGTGTGTCCAGGCACCAAGGTGGGTCACGGTGTCCTCGCGGGTCCCGGGCGTGAGCCAGAGGGGCGTCCTCAGTCCTCCGGAGCTGAGCCACGACAGGCGATGCGCAGCCGCCGGGACGCGCCTTCCTGCGCACACCTGGTCCCGGAGCAGCCGCGGGGGGCGGTGCCTCCTGCCGCGCCGCCTGCCTCAGGGGCTCACTTTCCATTCTTAGCCTCCTTCCGGGGTGAATCTGGCCCCACTTTCCAAACTCGCACACTGAGCCCTCAACTTTCACCCCCCCCCCCAAGAAGCAAAGCTAAGTGCCCGTGTGATCGTTTGGGGGTAGTTTTTCTCCCCTATTGTTCTAGAGGAGAAAGTGGAAGCCAGCAAAGAGCCGAGGTTGAGCACCGAGAGAGAAAGTTGCCATTGGGCGCAGGCTTTCCTGCTGAAGCCTCACCTGTGGCCGGAGTGCCGGGCCCTCAGCCTTCCTCCATCCGGTCCTCTGCGCTGGGAGCCAGGCTTGCAGAGCTCCTGCACCTTCTCCACCGCCCAGGCCCACGGGCTGAGGGATGCCTGGATTAAAGGGAATCCAGCGCAGACTACGAACTTTGAACTGCCCTCTCTGAGTTCAGAATGTTGGTTTGGGCAGACTGGCTAGCAATTGTTTTCGGAGGTAGCTCCTGCTTGTCCCAGGACGTTGACCTTACTCAGCCCTCCTTCATCAGGCTAGCCTTTGGTGCTTCTTTTTGGCCCTAGGGAACCTGGTAGCAGATTTGAGCCTCCTGCCACCGTATTGAAATGTATATTTCTTTGTTTAATGCCGGGATCTTGTGCATGCTAGGAAAAGGGGCCTACCACTGTGGTATACCCGCAGTCCTACCATACCTGTCTTAGGATTGGTATACAGTAAGCACTCAATAAATGTTTGCTATAAGGCATAATTAACTAGCACATGGGCTAAGCAGGCTTCCCTAAGGAGCCATAGGTTTTGAGCACGTGTTCAAATCCTGTTTCATTCAGCGAGGCCATCACCCTCTCTGTGCCTCAGCTTTTACATCTGTGAAATAGGAACATTCCAATCTCAGATTGTGTGAAGGTGAAGCCAGTTTCATGTGTACTTTAACCTCTTTAGTCCTCCAGTTTCCTTTGAGAAACTGGAAAAAGTCAGTACCTGGCAAAGGGTCAGCGCGTGAGGGAGTTTAATGTTTGTGCTATTGACCAGTAACCCCTCTCTTTAGGGTGGTATGAGTGGAGAATTGGGGATGGAGGGAGGCACCCCTTGCCAGGCCTTCCTTTTCCTGTCTTGCTGGAGGTGCCCCAAGCCTTTCTTAGCTCTGCAAGCTATTCCAAATCATCATTGTCCATGGTGGGGGGAGTTGGCAGGAAGGCCCGCCTTTGTTCCCATTTGAAAGAGCCATGGTTTTTTATGAGTTGGGACCCTTTTTAACTCCGCCCCTTCCAAGCTTGGGGCCAACTGTGAAGGTGTAATTGCAGAGTCCATGAGATCTTTACCTTTCCTCCTGGGTTGGAGAGAGCTGAGACAAAGGAACCAGGTTGGGGGGCCAGCCACATCCTCTAAAGCCATAGCTTAACCTCTAGCCCTTGCTGAGGTTGGGGGATGGGAAGAGAGAATTGGGAGCTGGGTGCTGGCAAGAGGAGGGAGGGGCAAGGGAGATGGGGTGGGGAAGGCTGCTTCCTTCTCTTCCTGCAGCCACGTGGGCCCTGTGACACACAGAAGCCTGTCTCCTTCATCACTGCAGCCCCAGGGACCTGCTACAGTGGAGGTTTGCCAAGTTTTTCCAGGAAAACTTACCTTGGGATTCCTTGGTCCCAGACAAGCTCCCATGCTGACCATACTACTTCCAGTTGCAGACATCTTATCGATTTTACCTGCTGATTGTACCTGCTAAACCTGAAGCTCTCTGGGTGCAACCTTTATCAGTATCAGGGATCAGCTTTGTTTTTCTAAATTGTTAAATGTTATGAATTCAGGGTGGTTTCTGGTTACATGCTGAAGGATGGAATTCCTCATTTCTTTTGCAGGCCACTCTTCCTTTGCAAGGGGACTGGACTGGATTTGGGTGGGGCTAATGCTCTCACTGGGTGCCTTTTGCAGGTGAAGGAACTGAGGCTGTGGGGAATAACCAGTTGCTTCCGCATCATGGTGATGACACTTCCCTACCTACCCCCATCCAGTAAAGGTTTTTCAGAGGATAGAAGCCTAATGCAGATGAGGCTGGCTGACTGGAGAAAGTGGCCTGGTGTATGCAGAAGGACCCCACTCAGCAAGGCTGTTACTGTAAATTGCCTTTCATGGGAGCCCTTCCCATTTGGGAAGTGGATACAACTTTGCTCCTACCCAGCATGGCTGCCAGGAGGATTAAGTGGAATTCAAGGGCCTTTTAGCTTTTTTTTTTTTTCCAGTACTGGGGATTGAAGCTAGTGATACTCCACTACTAAGGTGTAGCTCCTGGTTTCCCCAGCCCCCTTTTTAATTTTGGGGACAAAGTCTTACAAAGTTGCTGAGGCTTTCCTACAACTTGGCAATCCTCCTGCTTCAGCCTCCTGAGTAGCTAGGATTACAGGTGTGTGCCACCAGGCCCATCTTAGAGCTTGCTTTTAGTTGCTCATTCACTAATTTACTTGGGGAGGGGGGCTAAGTATTTTTAGTATTATTTAAAGCCCATTGTCTGTAGGGTCAGAAGCTCAGGGTTCAATAAACCTTGAGGGACCCGGATCCCGCTCAGTGGTAGAGCACTTGCCTAATAGCATGGGGCCTTGAGTTCATTACCTCTGCCTCTACCTGTGTACCCCTCCCTCCATCAAGCAACATTCACTTTTTTTTTTGTGTGTGTGTGTGTGTGTGTGTGCTGTTTGGTGCTGGGAATTGAACACAGAATCTTGAGCATGCTAGGCAAGGGCTGTACCTTTGTCACTACCCCCCACCCCTGAATTTTTTGATATGAATAAAAGTCATTTATAGTCATTAGACATTTGGATGTGGCCTATAATCTCACCATCCCACCTGAAAGCCAGGACCCAGGTAAGCCTTGCCTAAGCAAAGGGACGGGTTGTAAGAAATGCAGAGTGGCAAGTGACTTAATCTCAATTGGATTTTAGGGCCCAGCAGTCACCATTGGGTTTGGCTTCAGGGCAGACAGGTCACTCTTAGAGAGAAGAGAGATTTAGTTGGCTTCCCTCCCTTCTTACCTGCTTGGCTTGCGCCTGGCCTGGTCTCATTACTTCACTCACAGATTTTTTTCATTCATTCATTCCAACAGTATGGGCTGTGCTCTCCTCCTTCCTCACCCACTTTCACTGTTCTCCCCTTTCTTATGCGGTGCTGAGGATGGAACCCAGGGCCTCACATGCCAGGCAAGTGCTCTACCCCTGAGCCACAACTCCAGCCCTGCTTGCTTTTTTTTTTAATAGTATTAGGAATTGAACTCGGATGCTCTACCACTGAGCCACATCCCCAGCCCATTTTTTTTTGTTTTATTACACAATCTTTTTGTACCTGAAATTAAACTCAGAATCTTAACCAGTGAGCCACATCCCCAGCCCTATTTTTTGTATTTTATTTAGAGACAGGTCTCACTAAGTTGCTTGGGGCCTCAGGGATTACAGGCATGCACCACCCTGCCCGGCCTTATTATACAGTTTTGTAACAGGGTCTCCCTCAAAGTTTGGAGTGACTTGCAATCATGGCTTGGTCTCCCCACTCAGTCACTGGGATTACATGCATGCGCCACTGAACCTAGCTCTTTGTCTTTTATTCCTCCTACTCAAAACTAAATTTTCCATAAAATTGTCTTTTACAGCCTTTGAAAATTGTGAGAGCAATGAGCAGCCTTTGGGATTGTGAGCAGGAAATTAGAAATGCAGTTCTTAAGACTGATAGCTGGGGTGCTGGGCTTGTGGCTCAGTGGTAGAGCTCTCCCCTAGCAGGAGTAGGACCCAGGTTCAATTCTTAGCACCACATAAAAATAAAGGCATTGTGTTGTATCCATTAAAAAAAAAAAAAGACTGATAGCTGGGTGTGGTGGTGCACACCTGTCATCCCAGCAATTGAGAGGCTGAAGTAGGGGGATTCCAAGTTAAGAGGCCAGCCTCAGCAACTTAGCAAGGAAACTTGCTAAGTTTCAAATAAAAAAGGCTGGGATGTGGTTTAGTAGTTAAGCACCCTTGAGTTCCATCCCCAGTACAAAAAAAAAAAAAAAAAAAGGTTGATGGGGGTAGAACAATTCAGTGAGAAAGGGAAGTTGGAGGGGAAAAGTTTCCTTTTGGGAGAGGTGAGAGGTTGCTGCTGACCAGGTGTTTGTCTGAGGGGGTCAGAAGAGGGTTGTAATTTCCATCTCAAGTTTGGAGAATAAGTCTTGGTGGTATAGAGGTATATCTCCCTTCCCTATGGCAGGGGAGAAATTCCTTGATCACCATCTCCCTGAAGATTTCTGTGTTCATAACAGTTCTCCATCAGATGTTGAATCCCCTGACTTGATAGAGGTTTCCTGGAACCTCGTCCTTATATTATACTTTCTGGGTGATATCCTAAGCTTCCAACCCCGCTATTTGAACTTGTCTCTTAAAAAATTCCATTTCACCCCCCCCACTCCCCACCCCCTCCCCCAGTGCTGGGAACTGAGCCCAGGGCCTCCCACATGGTCTGTAAATGCTGTGCCACTGAGCTACATCTCCTATGTGTGGTGGCACTGGGTGTTGAACCCAAGGCCTCACACATGCTAGGCAAGTGCTCTACCTGGGACCTATGTCCCCACCCTTTCTAAAACTTTAATTCTTTTTCAGGGTCTTGCTGACTTTCCTAGCCTGGCCTCTAATTTCCAATGCTCTCCTGCCTTTGCCCCTGCCCTCAAGTCACTGGGCTATAGATGTGTGCCATCACGCCTGTCTCCATTACGCTTTCAGTATATTTTTTTGTTTTCATTTTTATCACGTGTTGGTATTGGGTGGGGTCAGCATTATACTACTGAGCTACACTTCCAGTCCCATTTTCTTTCCTTTTTTTTGTAATGGGGATTGAACCCAGGAGGTGCTTAACCAAGGAGTTTCATCCCCAGCTTGTTTTATTTTTTGAGATGGGGTCTTGCTAAATTGCTTAGGGCCTTGCTAAGTTGCTGAGGCTGGCCTTGATATTTGAACTTCCTGCCTTAGCCTCCCAGATCACTGGGATATTAGGCATGTGCCACCATGCTGGGGCCTGTTTTCATTTTTTTAACTTTAGTTGTAGGTGGACTCAAACTATTTTTTTGAGTGTGTGTGTCTCACACAAGCTAGGCAAATGCTCTACCACAGCCACAATCCCAGCCCTTGTTTTTATTTTTAATGTTTAATTGTTGAACATTTACTGAGAATTCCCATCTATTGTCTATGGGACTTAGAAACTGGCGAATTTGGGCTGAGGATCTAGCTCATTGGTAGACTGGCATGGAGGTGTCCCTGTGTTCCAATCCTAGCACCACTCCAAAACAACCACAGAAACAACATACAGGTTGAACATTTTTGTGGGGCTATAAATGGAACTTGTCTTTGGGTTTCCCTTTAAA